TTGACTACAGGGGCTAGTCTCCTAACACACAGGTGTCTCAACAGTCGAGTCATGCTGCTTTATACGTCACCTTGACTACAGCGGCTAGTCTCCTAACACACAGGTGTCTCAACAGTCGAGTCATGCTGCTTTATACGTTGTAACATTGACTACAGGGGCTAGTCTCCTAACACACAGGTGTCTCAACAGTCGAGTCATGCTTCTTCATACGTCACCTTGACTACAGCGGCTAGTCTCCTAACACACAGGTGTCTCAACAGTCGAGTCATGCTGCTTTATACGTTGTCACCTTGACTACAGGGGCTAGTCTCCTAACACACAGGTGTCTCAACAGTCGAGTCATGCTTCTTCATACGTCACCTTGACTACAGCGGCTAGTCTCCTAACACACAGGTGTCTCAACAGTCGAGTCATGCTGCTTTATACGTTGTAACATTGACTACAGGGGCTAGTCTCCTAACACACAGGTGTCTCAACAGTCGAGTCATGCTTCTTCATACGTCACCTTGACTACAGCGGCTAGTCTCCTAACACACAGGTGTCTCAACAGTCGAGTCATGCTGCTTTATACGTTGTCACCTTGACTACAGGGGCTAGTCTCCTAACACACAGGTGTCTCAACAGTCGAGTCATGCTTCTTCATACGTCACCTTGACTACAGGGGCTAGTCTCCTAACACACAGGTGTCTCAACAGTCGAGTCATGCTGCTTTATACGTTGTCACCTTGACTACAGGGGCTAGTCTCCTAACACACAGGTGTCTCAACAGTCGAGTCATGCTGCTTTATACGTTGTCACCTTGACTACAGGGGCTAGTCTCCTAACACACAGGTGTCTCAACAGTCGAGTCATGCTGCTTTATACGTTGTCACCTTGACTACAGGGGCTAGTCTCCTAACACACAGGTGTCTCAACAGTCGAGTCATGCTTCTTCATACGTCACCTTGACTACAGCGGCTAGTCTCCTAACACACAGGTGTCTCAACAGTCGAGTCATGCTGCTTTATACGTTGTAACATTGACTACAGGGGCTAGTCTCCTAACACACAGGTGTCTCAACAGTCGAGTCATGCTTCTTCATACGTCACCTTGACTACAGGGGCTAGTCTCCTAACACACAGGTGTCTCAACAGTCGAGTCATGCTGCTTTATACGTTGTCACCTTGACTACAGGGGCTAGTCTCCTAACACACAGGTGTCTCAACAGTCGAGTCATGCTGCTTTATACGTTGTCACCTTGACTACAGGGGCTAGTCTCCTAACACACAGGTGTCTCAACAGTCGAGTCATGCTTCTTCATACGTCACCTTGACTACAGCGGCTAGTCTGTCTCACAGATAACGTATGTAATATATTTGTCTGCATATCTGTCCATATGTATGTTACAGGTGTTTCTTGAAGAGGTCATACAAAAGTGATAATATGAAACGTGAACATAATAATAATACCAATGACGACGATGGCAACAATACGAATATAAGGCGTCATCTGTTTATGGTGTGCAAGACACCTGGTGTCAGTGGTCTATGCCCAAAGCAGCACATTTGTGTCCCGGCCAAGGGATCAGTGTGCCTTCAGACTGCAGGCTCAGCGCTCAGGGCTAACGCTGTTGGTGAAGCTCGGGACTTGCGTCAGCACGCGAGGCCTTGGGCTCAAAATTGAAGTCCACCAGTTCACATTGTGACCCATATGAACGTGATTACCCATTGACCCCACTGTTTAAATGGTAGCATAATGCAGTTAAAAAGGAAAACGCCATGCATTGCATCAGCTCACAAATCTTATAGATGACATTCGCGGAACTGAAGACAATTACACGGCATATTTTCTTCTCAACCATGCTGAAGTTGAAAAAAGTGCAGAACCATCCTCATGCCGTGAAGCCATTGTATCGGAAAGAGGACACATAACAGTGGGCCGACTGCCGGTGAAGATGGGTACAGGTTATGTCTCAGACAGGGTATACGCATCACAGTGGGGCGACTGCCGGTGAAGATGGGTACAGGTATGTCTCAGACAGGGTATACGCATCACAGTGGGGTGACTGCCCTTGAAGATGGGTACAGGTATGTCTCAGACAGGGTATACGCATCACAGTGGGGTGACTGCCCTTGAAGATGGGTACAGGTATGTCTCAGGCAGGGCATACGCATCACAGTAGGACGACTGCCCTTGAAGATGAGTACAGGTATGTCTCAGGCAGGGTATACGCATCACAGTGGGGCGGCTGCCCTTGAAGATGGGTACAGGTATGTCTCAGACAGGGTATACGCATCACAGTGGGGCGACTGCCCTTGAAGATGGGTACAGGTATGTCTCAGACAGGGTATACGCATCACAGTGGGGCGACTGCCCTTGAAGATGGGTACAGGTAAGTCTCAGACAGTGTATACGCATCACAGTGGGGCGACTGCCCTTGAAGATGAGTACAGGTATGTCACAGACAGGGTAAACGCATCACAGTGGGGCGACTGCCCTTGAAGATGGGTACAGGTATGTCTCAGACAGGGTATACGCATCACAGTTGGGCGACTGCCCTTGAAGATGGGTACAGGTATGTCTCAGACAGGGTATACGCATCACAGTGGGACGACTGCCCTTGAAGATGGGTACAGGTAAGTCTCGGACAGGGTATACGCATCACAGTGGGGCGACTGCCGGTGAAGATGGGTACAGGTATGTCTCAGACAGGTTATACGCATCAGGGTATACGATTGTGTGGTACGAACTCAATTATTTACAGTCCGCCGTCACACACACACATATATATATACACACGCACAAACACGCACACACACAATACTATTGTGCAAAAAACATAACTCGCCTTGGTATTACCACGAATCCCAACGTCATTGTGAAACTACGATCTATCTCCTCGATACATTTACGAATCCCAACGCTATTGTGCAACTAGCACCTCTCAAAATGTTACAACCACGAATCCCAAAACTATTTGACAACCAACAATCCTCGTATTGGTACTGCCACGAATCCCAAAGCTTGTGTGCAGCCTCTGTCTTGGTAATTCCAAGAATACCAACATTTCTGTGTCGCCTGAATCCTTAACATTCGTGTAACCACGAATCCCTTTACTAATAGGCAACCAGTAATTGGCGATATGTTGCATTGTATAGTTAAGTATATATAACTTAATCCAAATAACAGCCACATAAGTTCGTTCATAGTGACCTATCCGACAAAGACTCACGGACTAGATACAGAGAAGATACTCAACATTCGTCCGATTCCTGGATGTGTTGCAGGGCAAGTTGGCATGTTGTGTGGGTAACATAGAAATCCACTGAACCAATCCAGGATATGGATGCGTGGCGGCTGCAGCAGGTGCCACATTCACACCATCTTTAATACTGTCCGTATGAAATAAGATAGTTGGATGGTTATTTTAAAAGATAGCCAAGGTAATATATTTGTTTAAATTCCTACCATGACTTTTGAAAATGCTCGCTTCCGGTCTCCGATCGATACAGCGTACTTCCGGATTCATTGTATGGTGTATGTCCTTTAAACCCGAGTGAGGAAATATATCGGGTTAATCATTATTACCACTCATAGTCTTCCTCTTTGTCAGATTAAAACATAAAGGAACTATATAATTCCTCTACAATAATTAAAAGGAAATTAATATATTGTTTCATAATTAGCACCGTAGACAAGCTACCTGCACATAGAGACCTGATGTCTCTCCTAGTCCAATATACCTAAACCTATGTATACTTGGTGACTTAAGGTTCGTGTTTTTCAATATCAATGTGATATCACTATACGCCAGTGCATTTGAACATGTAGACGAAATATAGAGTGACTATGTCTATGCTCTCAACAAGTGCAGGTCGCTTCAGTTAACGTAAAACACGGAACGGTACTGTAAGACTTTTCTAGGATGTTCTTGAATCGGGTACACAATTCCTCCTGTGAAGGAAGAACACTGCGTATGGAGAGAACGGGGCGGGGAGGTTGGGGAAGGGAGGATGAGGTTACGGTTGACAAAGAAAGTTGAGGTGAAGGGAGGGAGGTTGCCTTCGCCGTCTGCGATATACACATTACTATACATTGTGTGTATAGTTACCACATTGGGTTTGCAAACGTCATACAGTTGAGCATGCACAGCCTTATTTGTCAGAAAACTTCCATCTAAACAAACGCTTCGTGAATATAGAGATATTATTTTATGATTTTTAAATGTAGCCTCAACGATATAATATGAGTCTAATATCACACACGCACACGCGCGCACGCACGCACGCACACACACACACACACACACACACGCGTCAGGCCCAAGTATTCAGAAAACTGTACATAAGCATTACGGCACCTCTACACGAGGATGTATTGCATGTTTAACAATTAAGTCAGGGCGTGGCACTTAAAACTTAAACACGCCAATAAACACACATGGAAGATATCTGTCCTGTACAGCCAAGTTAGTTAGGAGAAGATCGATGTTATATTATAATCCAGCAGACAACAAGATATAACGCTTAATCTGTTCATAGGATATCACTTGTTTGTGTATATAAACAAAGTTTGACATCACAGACGCTATATTGGTGTATGATCTTGAAAATAATACCCGATACTCTTGAAATCTTGCAACCAGCAGTAAGTTGGGACGTCGCTTCGCATTACCAGGTAGTCTATATAAGACTTACATTGACACCCTGGCTAAATCGTAAATGTACGTAACATATGAGTCCTCTTTACACAAATTTCCACATCAATATTCTGTGCTCTGGTTAATCATAGTATACTTCAAGTGATTCGGAATTCTGCATTACAAATAGGAGCATAAGTAATACAATACAAGAAACAGGAGATTGTGTTACTCTGACTCAGTGTCTGATATCGATGAAGAATTGTTATGACGATGAAGCCATCATTACAGTAGAAAGAATGTTATGCTGGAGGGTTACAAATTTGCTGCGACACCGCCAAGAGACATTATCTCCCTTGCAAATAGATGGCGCTATTATACCAGGAAGTGCGTCGATCACGAACCAGCCGGCTGTCCCTCGTCATGCCTGACTCATTTCCGTTTATCATACATCTAGGTCCTGGCAACTGGGCTTCCCGGTACGATATTGGGCGAGTTTGAATTACGAAGCACACCGACAACGTACAACAGTGCGCTACGCGTCGCACAAATAGGGGTGTGTACACAACTTGTCATTAGAGTTACACATACTGTCAGTTGTTAGTGAACGAGAACCAAAGAGAGCACTGATTCTATCCCAACATTGTAAGCATGGTTTAGGCCTATGATATCAACAACATATCTAGATCTATTATTCTTGAAACTTTTGAAGGCGTCATATTTTTTTTATCTCCGACCAATAGATACAGCAGACGTGTACACGGGTCCTTTTGTCGTTGCTTAATATTTCTTGATCTATTAATATCACGAGTATCAGAAATGCGCTATCCTGTTGAAACTGTACATTGTAAAGATCTGTAGGATAGACCTAGGCCGATTGAATTTATCGATCTAGAAATAAAGGCCTCATTCCTGTACTCTCAAGTGCATGGTAAATTGTGAAATTCACAAGTTTGGTTGACCTCTGGTACAAGAAGATCTAATAGATCTTGATTGAGTCTGTTGAAAATTGGATACAGCTCGTGTAGCTTTCCTGTTTTCATCTTCAAGCACCTAGGCAGTGAAGCCATAGTAATATTTCCCAAAACTTACAAAGACCTGAACATAGTCTTCAAACCCCTAAATAAACAACTGTGTTCAACATATTATATGTAAAGTAATGATCCACTTGTACCAGCTTTACATTTTACTCTTTGCATTTGCAAAGTAGGAACATTAATTTCAGATATAGATATCTATTCAGTTGTTATAGATCCATTTATATGTTTATCCATAAGGCGACATGGTTATTGGATATGCTGATTTGCCCATATAACCTGGTAACTTCCAACTTGTGAATAGAAAGTGCATAGTATGCAAGTTAACTGGGTAGGTTGTTTAGTTCATGGAGTTGGGTCCTCAGACATATATATGCATACCCTCAATCTTTGTTTGCCCCTAAGCTTGTTTAGTAAATAGAATCAATTCATGTGAAACATATGTGCTGAAATGCTGTATATTAGAAGAAAATACACATTAAAAAATTGATGGGGAGGTCCTGGGGTGCTTGAGGTCTTCTCCAGCACTATTGAAAGGTAGGGCAGGGGCCAAACTACCGTTGTAGCGGAAAAGCAGTTGCTTACACCTAAATAAAACCCACATTTTTTTAAAATAAGTAAACCTCAAATTACCATCTATGCAGTAAATTATTTATTCAAATTCTACACAGCCAGTCATGATATTTATTGCCTAAGTTGAAAATTGGAGTCTTTACTCACATGAGGATTTTAGTGGTAGATGTGATGTAAGCAAGCCACGCTCTCACAATTATTTTCATTTTAATAATAGGCCGGCTCGCCTTAAGATATAAGAAAATAAATATCCATCACATACTACGATGAAGGAGATGTAAAAAGTAATATTATTGATTCGTTTTCAACATGTTTTATGTCCAAATTTCATTTGTCATCATAGATGTTTCTTGAATGAAAGTCGAAATATGTAGCTTAAACGCATATAATTAATTATATATATAATTACAAATAAAAAAAATTATGATATAACAATACCCAAATCTAACATGAACAGCCCCCAAATGCAGGAAATAGCGTTAAAGAGCATCTAATTTTTTTTAAATTCTTGGTAAGCAAGCCCTTGAACCCTCCCGAATGGGTATGCTTATGCTTAAAATCAGCTTAGTCGCGCCCCTGTAGAGACCCCTAAATCTTAATCATTAAACATTAGGGTTATGACAAGGAGCCCTTGACTTTCAAGCTTAATTTTGAACACTGAAATACATATCTCTAGCAGGCTCCAGATACAATGTAATTGCTTTCCTTAGTATTTACTTACATGTTTTCATTAACTTAAGTTTTAATTTTGTTTGGGTATTCTATATAGTTGTACACCCTTTGGTCCAGTTGGTTAGGTATTTTGTGCCAATGTGAGAACTTCTTTAAATGCCTATAGAAGTTGGTATGATGAGCAAGGGAGATAGTTCTAGGGATATACAACTTCTTTATTACAATGAATGCAGTTCAATGAGGCAACCTTTGTCAAGCATAATTCTACTTAAATCACTGTTTCAGGTGACTTCTAATGTGTGTCTGTCCATGTGATGCCTCATGTGTCATATATTGCAGAAGCTCACAGCAGTGTTACATGTCTGAAGTTACAATAAGCAAGACAGCACGTTCTTGCAATATTCACTGCAGTAGAGTTCATGTAAATGTAGTGCCTGCATTTGATCAGTAAATAAAGGTCTGTAAGGACATATTGCTACATTGGGTAATATGCAGTGTCATACTATTTGGTTTTTAGGGTTTTTTTCATACTTATTTGTATGCAAGCAAATCAAAATTAATTGAGTTTTGGTGTAATGTTGTATGTGACCTTCACAAATATGCAGTTTATTTTTTGTTGAAAGTTATGGATTTTCATGATTTCTGGACAAGCTTGTGAAATACATCAGTGCAGGAAGCTATCCAACAAACAATTACACAATTATCAAAAAAAAGATTACTATTTGCCCAAAGGATACTTTCAAAATAGGTTGATGCCTTCAGGCAAATGCTTGATGCTGGTGTTCTTTTGCAACAAATAATGTGGAATGACACAAAGTTATAAAGTATCCTGAATTATTGTGAAACCCATGGATTAAAGGCTATGATAATGAAATGGGCTGTGAGAAAGATTCCTGCACAGTGGTATCATGTGGGCATTGCTTGTAAATGTATTCTGTTTCAAGTTTAGAGATAACTTACTTACATTTTATACCTTTCCATTTTGATAGGAGACTGATCAATTTCTTCCTTCATTGACAGTCCAAAGACCCTACTTAGCAATGAATTTTAAGACAGTTTTTTTCATTTATGATTGTGTTTGTTCTTGTTTGGAATGTAATAAGTCAGAGAAAAATCTTTTGTAAACAACAAATGATGAGTGACACACAACTCGCTGGGGCGACTCATGATGTGTCGGGTACAGTACATTGTTCTGTGGAATTCAGAGTTACTTAACATGTTTAATTTAAAAGGTCAAGTAGGATATCACATAGGCTAAAACATTATTAAGCACACCAGTCATGTTTGGTGTCTTTGTAGTGAATATGGCCGAGTGCCCTTATCCCTCTAACTTAATCTGAGTATTATTATTGACCTTACTGAATGCTTCTTAGGAGGATTTGGTAATTTCTTGATGGTGAAAGTTCTCACGCTGAAATGGATAACATGCCAAGCCTGTCTGTATCTTTTTCTGTGTTTCCCATCTCCCGCCCACCCTGAATTTCCATTCTGACATGAAATAATTAAAAAGATTTTGTCTCACAATTTTCCCTGCCACTGGAATATTATGCCCCAGTGTGATAGCAAAATAAGCACTACCATTCCACGCTCCTAAAAACACCAGGTCAGCCTGATCTTTCTTCAGCTATGTTTATTAAAAATTCATTTACGAAGCAAAGTGACTCGATTCATCGTCATAAATTAATTAGTTCGTTAAACTTTAAACTGTCACAAAATAAGTTACACAATTAATGAGAAACAGAGTTGTTTATATTTTTAATTTTTATTTTATTTCGGCTCTCTGCCAGCTCTCTTGATGGTTGAGATTTGAGATGAGAAACACAAAAAAATATGAATGGTGCAAGCCTAGATCTGATCTCAACAAAAATGGACAATATCATCTGAATAGCAGTATATAAGGGAGACAACTCATTCAGACTTAGTGCAGCTGAGTGCTTGATGTTTGTTTATCCAGTATTTATTGCTGGTAGGTTTGTCATGTGTCTATTCATATGTGTTTATTTCGTTCACATTGAGGAAGTAAGTATTTATGACCTGTTTATTTTATCCTTATTTTTCACATTTGTCATGATTCATCCATACCAGGAATATGAGAAAAGGAAGAAATTCATGTCATAAATAATATCTAAATAACAGGTTCAACACAGATCTATTTATGCTGTAACTGATATATATTTAGGATAACAAGTCTTTGACAACACTCACACTTTGCACAAATTGTAACAAGGAATTTTATTTACAAGAAAGTGTACTATTCAATCAACTCCTATCATTTCTTACTATGAGCAGAGTTGCAGATGACAGTCCGTCCCACCAATTTCACCAAGGACAGGTGACATACAAAATCTACTTACCGTGTCAATGGTCATATTTTTTTCTGTCAATTAGTAATCGCCATGATGTGTATTGTGTATAAAACTAAACAACCCTAATTCAAGTTCAAAGTTATAGACAACAGAAAAAGATCTGCATAAAATGTTTGCATTGGCAACTTTTGACAAGGACAAGATTTTCGAGTAGCCAGTTCTGTGGTCTGTTCAAAATTTATTTTAAGTCTGCAACACTGCTGAGAGTATAAAATGACACCCATATTTTCACATGCAGATGACTGTTTGGTCATCTGAAATGTGATTTGGATTTGTTAATTGCATTGAAACTTTTAATTTTGAACTGTACTTGTAGGCAACATATTTCATGAATATGGAAATGGAAGGTCTCAGCTGTACAGTGTTTCTAGTGTATGCAGGATACTGACCAGTAAATTATGGCTTGGGCCAGTGAAGTCAAGGCTAGTATTGGTTTTCTGAAGAAACATGGTGTACTGTTTGAGTTGTTTACATTATCTGAGCCTTACAGTTTACATTCCTTCAGTTAGACTTAAGTCTTAATGTAAGTGGAACACCAAGCTAAACTCTGATGTGTAGACATGTATATAAAGTGATGTGACATTGATCGTGGATTTCTGTACTTCTGTACGAACAGATGAGTTGTCATTGTGGTAGTTTCAACTGTTTGGTATTTCTGATAATCTCAAATGCTCTGCACCATGTGGTTGTAGTGTGTCAAATGCTCTGCACCATGTGGTTATAGTGTGTCGATTGCTCTACACCATGTGGTTGTTGTGTGTCAAATGCCCTACACCATGTGGTTGTTGTGTGTCAAATGCCCTACACCATGTGGTTGTTGTGTGTCAAATGCCCTACACCAAGTGGTTGTTGTGTGTCAAATGCTCTACACCATGTGGTTGTTGTGTGTCAAATGCTCTACACCATGTGGTTGTTGTGTGTCAAATGCCCTACACCATGTGGTTGTTGTGTGACAAATGCTCTACACCGTGTGGTTGTTGTGTGTCAAATGCCCTACACCATGTGATTGTAATGTGTCAACATTATCCAACTGAGCCATGTGTGACAAAAAACTGACATTCATGAACATGGCAACTGGCAGACAGCAGTTCTGTCCTTTATATTTAAGGATGCAAAAGGTAAAAAAACAACTTTTCAGCAAAATTTAGAACAGTGCAGTATATTTTCTATATTTTGCAATAGCCCAACTACATGCATATGACAGCAGTCTGTACATAATTTAGTCTAGACAAAATGTTTGAACTGTTATAATAATCGTTTGGATTCCATGATTTTTATTTGTTCAAGGCATAGATTTGGACATCTTCACGATCAAAGTAGTTTACTCACTGTAAAAGTCCAGTTTCCACCCTTGCTGATCTCGGCTGGAATTTCTGGGCTCGATCGTAGTGCCACCAGTGGCTATTACGGGTTATGTCCCTTCTATGTTCCTCCTATCCTCCAATCAGATTCCACTTCTCATATCACTTGTATTTGCTTCAAACAAAATGGTGGCACTCAGTGAAGACGATCTGATCGATAATCAATATCTATATTGTAATAAAACGGGTCTTACTTCGCGAAGTGCATCCCATTATGTGAGCACCTTTATTAAAAACATGAAAAGGTTTTGAACGTATCTGTTGATGCTTAGTTGACGGTACACATGCATTGCAAATCCTGCAATTTACTGAAATCTGCAATCCATTTTACGAACAGGACGTTGATTTCATTTTGCCATTTTGATTGGACTATACATCGACTCATTCATCCAGCCAAACTATAACTCCATAATTCCAGCCTAGTTCGGCAGGGGTGGAAACTGGACTTTTGTAGTCAGTTCACTCCCTTGACGCGGAGATTTGGAAAATATAGTTATATATAGCCATGGAAAATGTTGCATTATTACATCATCATCATCATCATCATCATCATCTTCATATTTTCAGTTTCTGGTTTCATTTAATTCCCTTGCCAAGGCAGGGTTAGAACAAAATTGAAAAGATTTACTAGACTGGGTAAAGATAATATATTAGTTTTGCATCACTGTCTTCACTAACTATGGCAGTTGTTCCTGATGTTTCAGAAATTAGGATAGGTGATGTTGGAATCTGCTGTACCAAATGCTGTAATATTTTGTATGAGTGTTTGTAATGTAATAGATAGAGGACAAGTGGGAGTAGTTCAATGAGACTTATAGGTACAGTTGCAAGCAGCCATATTGAAAATGTTTGTACTAGCACCGAATACAGTTATTACATATTTAGAAATAGTGCATATGCTTACTTAGTGAAATATCCTCAAATTGGTTCAGAGTAGGCTGATATTGTATAACAAATATATTGTTCAGCTTCTAAACAACACATTTACAATGTGACTTTTCCAACTTCAGTTTGTCCTCCCAACACTCCAATATGGCCGAGGAAAAGAGACGCAGCCCTCTCAAGGTGGCTGCAGTGGTGGCCATGTATTGGAGCATCTCTATATCCATGGTGTTTATCATGAAACATTTGCTGAGTGGTAGCTATGGCAACCAGGACCTCACCATCTTCGTCACATGGTACCAGAGCGCTTCTGTAGTTGTGCTCATCTTGGCTATGTCATCAGCATCAAGACTCCTTAAGTTTGGATTGAGTATTCCATCCCTGGACAAAGAAACTATCCTAAACAGTGACATGCTATCACTTAGCTTTTCATTTGTGATCAGTCTCACCATGAACAATCTGATGTTGAAACATATCAGTGTGTCGTTTTATCAAGTTGCACGATCACTGACGCTTATCTTCTCTATACTGTTGTCATTCTGTATGTTGGCAAAAGCTCCCTCTTACAAGGTAGTGTTGGCCTGTTTGCTCATCATCGCTGGGTTTGTTATTGGGGTGGACCAAGAAGAGGCTTCAGGTAGTATCACAATTTGGGGAATTATCTACGGACTACTGGCAAGTCTTACATCAGCTTTAACAGGTATATATTTCAAGAAGGGGGAATATGCAGTCGGTGGAAGTGCTCTGAAACTGGCTTACATCAATAACTTCAACAGCATGATGATAATATTTCCACTAGTGTTGAGCACAAATCAGCTGTCACATATCATGAACTCGGACATAGCTACCAACCCACAGCTGTGGTTGTTCCTAACAGCTTCAGGAGCTCTGAGTCTGGCAATTGGTTGGGCAAGTGCATTACAGATTCGCTACACTTCCCCAGTTACTCATCAGATCAGCATCAACGCTAAGTCCATTACTCAGACAGTCATCGCAATCTTATGGAACAACGAACTTAAAACTGTATTCTGGTGGTTTGGCAATGTCCTTGTGTTGTTTGGAATAGGCATCTACACCTTTGCTAAATATCAAGAGAGCAAGACCCAAAAGGTTGAGACTTCACCAATGCCCACAAAGAACAATTCCAGTAGCAGCTCTTCACCTGAGAAGCCAACTGTGTGAAGGCACTGAGAAAATAAGACTTTTATTGTGTTAATGTTTTACCAGTATCTGAAACTATCATTCTAAAAATAAGGTCTTTGAATATGTTGCCTGAATCTGAATATTTTTCTGTCTTGTCATATTTAATTATAACCGTTTTGCGTTGCTTGATCCCAGAGTGGGGCTTACATTATGGTGCTATGTTTATGCATAAGTTCTCTTCCCAAGTAGTCTTTGTCATTGGAATCGTCTCACAGAGCAGAAGAAAACCGCTTGAAAACCAAGCACCATGACAAATGGCATAATATAGAAAACTTCAATATTTACTCTTCTTGAGAATAATTCTGGTGAAGATAAGGACTGGCAGTTATGCCATATATCCTGGATAATGTATTACTGTCAACCTTTATACACATAACACCTTTGTATTTATTAAATATTGCTCAGTATATTTTGTATTCCAGGACCAGGGTTTGCACAGTATTGTCCACAGCTACTGATTCAGGTTTTGCGGTAAACCAGAGAAATACTAGTATTCACAAACAAGGAATGGCTGGAGTTTTTCTGTTTCTATTTCCAATTTTGAAATAAGAACTTGTTAGTATTATGAATCTCAGCATGTCTCTGCAGTGTCTCAGGATTGCTACAGCTATTACTTCACAAACTTCAGAGGTGACAGAGGGGTTCAGGTCGTGTGGACTATATCACTGGGTTGCTTGTTATTGTTCCCACACAAGGGGGATAACTCCTCATTATGACCACACTGCCCTGATGTGGATGTACAATGTATTGCCCCTTGTACATTACTACACGAGCAACCCATACAGTTTATGAGTTTCAAAATGTATCTAGTAAGCTAACACTTTGAAATTTGTTTGGAAATACACAGGTGGAAAACAAGCAGTATCTGTCGAGGACCATCTTCCCGAGGCAAGAGAGTTAACTGACTTTAAAAGTCCAGTTTCCACCCTTGCCGAACTAGGCTGGAATTACTGGGCTGGACCATAGCGCCACCAGTGGCTATTACCAATTATGTGCCTTCTAAGCCTCTCCTAAGGACCAATCAGATTCCACCTTTCGTATCACTTGCGTTTGCTTCACACAAAATGGTTGTGCCCGGTCAGGACATTCTGATCGATAATTAATATCTATATTGTGATAAAATGGGTCTTACATCGCAAAATGCATCAAATCACGTGAGCTCCTTGATTAAAAACATGAGAAGATTTGGAAAATATCTGCTGACAACGAGTTGGTGGTGCACATGCTTTGCAAATCCTGCAATCGACCGAAATCTGCACAACAGTTTACGAACTGGATTTCAATTTTGCTGCGCGCTTTTGATTGGACTATGCATAGACTCGTTAGTCCAGCCAAAAAGTAACTCCATAATACCAGCCTAGTTCGGCAAGGGTGGACTTTTATAGTCACTTAACTCTCTAGCCTCGGGAAGATGGTCGAGGACAAATGTAGTAATTATTATGTCTCCCCCAGAATGGAGGGAGACATATTGTTTTTGGCACGGTTCCCGTCGGCGTCGGCGTCGGCGTCGGCGTCGACGTCGGCGTTCCCACCGTTTCCGGACCATAACTCAGAAACCGTTTAATATTTTTTCGCGAACTTTGTATACACATTAACCCAGCACTGAAGTGGTGCCTTTTGCTATTTAGAGATTTTTGACATTTTTATTTTTTCTCGTTTCCATGGAGATAACTTGAACATAGACTCTGAATGGGGGTAAACTTGGTTTCCGGACCATAACTCGGAAACCGTTTAATATTTTTTCGCGAAACTTTGTATACACATTAACCCAGCACTGAAGTGGTGCCTTTTGCTATTTAGAGATTTTTGACATTTTTATTTTTTCTCGTTTCCATGGAGATAAGTTGAACATAGGCTCTGAATGGGGGTAAGCTTTGTTTCCTGACCATAACTCAGAAACCGTTAAATATTGTTTCGCGAAACTTTGTATACACATTAACCCAGCACTGAAGTGGTGCCTTTTGCTATTACAGTTTCCATGACATCACATATGTCATTGTGTCGAAGACCTGCAGAGTCAGATACACGGGCAATTACATCACAGAGACTTTCCTTTGTGCCATATAACATTGCTACATCATTTCTGATATGTTGGGGATATTAATATATTTGTGTCCAAACTCTATTAGTACTTAAGTGGATTTTCTATAAATACTTCAGTAACAAGAAAACTGTGCTACTTAGATGACTACACTGTCAGGTGGGTAAATGATTGAGGGATTAGTGGTGTTGATTAGACGCTGAAGTGGTGCCCATTAGTTGTTTGAAATTTCTAGGAGTTCTATTTTTGTCTCTGTTATTAAGTAATGGAGGGTGGGAATGAAGAGATGGGGTTTAACGTGAAGTAAACGAATGAATGGGGGTTAGGGGAGTGGGGGGAGACATATGTTTTTACGAGTAAAAACACTTTCTAGTTTATTACTCATGTTAGTAAGCATTAAAACATTATAACGTCACTGATGAAATCATAGGGTGACAACAAATCAGGTGACAGTACTTGTAATTTACATTCCCTGAAACTATTGAGCATTATTCTTTACAAATTTTACTGAACAGTGAACATGCCCTTAAAATTTTATCAGTCATTTGTATCCCCTGGCTTGAAAAACTCCCAAACCATTGAATATTTCTAGATGAAACTTGCTATACAGATCAGTCTAGTGGTGAACTGGTGCCTTTTGTCATTTGATGATTTGGGATTAACATTATGTTTTTCTTCACAGAACTAAAAGTAATCCATTGGCAATAAACCAAAAGTTGGGTATAAGGAGCCAAACTCCACTCCGGACCTAGGGGATATGTCATCTCCTGATGACTCTTTTTTGTCACCTTGATTAAGATATTCTCATTTTAACATAAGAAAATCCACACTGACCACAGATATTCCTTTGACGGTACATCCATTTAAGTGTAGTTGCCATGGTAATCAGAAATGACTGGGTGTATAAAATATCCATAACAATATAATGGTACATCCTTTATTATTTCAATTCAGAACAAGCCAATTATAAAAGTTTCTGAGATACCCGGTGTTGTGGTCTGAATGCTCAACTCACTCATACCAAGAAATACTATACCTTGATTCTGATTGGCTTTTTAGAAACTTCACCTGACATGACCTATGGAGGGGTTTGGGGTTCACGCTGAGAGGTCATGATCGGAGTGAAAGATGTGATATTGATGAGATTGGTCTACACTCATATTATGTTAACCTAACAACACAACTCCTGTAAGCAGCTCTTCACCTCCTTTCCCCAACACTTACAGTGCTGTCTGCACTGTTCCATGAGGTACACTTTACCACATACTGTGAGAGTTAGGAGATTGTGAACTGTAGCATGTTAGTTTCCCTTCTCACGACTCATTGTAGTGATGAACTGACCTACTGATCCCTTTCAATTCATTCTTTTGTTTGCCTCAGTGATATATTGCTGCAAACCTACTTCATTACTCTTCATGTTATGTTCATTCGCACCATGTATTCAGCAGCCATTGTTTATCATGCTTGATAGCATGTATTTTTTACATTTACTTGCCATTGGTTGACATTTAATTTTAAATATGTTCCTTGCCCCTTAACTGTGATATTTGTTTACATGTATTGAAGCATATACATGTATACTTTGGACTTGTGAAAATGGTTATTGTAAAAATAATTATCATGCATGTTGTTTTTGCAATATTATATACAGATTAAAATTTTAAAAATGCAGCAAAGAGGGTTTGGCACAGTCGGGCTGGTTTGGCTCATCATCAAGCTCAGGGCCCTTGCCCCCTCTACACGCTGCTCAGACAGTGAATTGGACTTCTCCCAGGAAGCGCTGCCTGGTCAAACCCACCCAGAACTTATTATTATTATTATTATTATTATTATTATTATTATTATTTCTTGCCAAAGAAAAATACACCTTCATACACCTTGTCTTTGAAATTTGATGAACAGCCTTTGACAAATATCTCACACAACATTTCCTACATGTTAGTCCCAACATAACTAGCTCTGATGCGGACCAGGGCTAGAACTTTATAGTAGCCCGTTAGCCTAAGCCTAGTACAAATTCCTGCACGCCGTACAAATTTCCCTATTGTTTTAACATTACAAGGGCATTATATTTCTATCCAGGCTAGTAAAGCTTTTGAGGTTAACTCTAAGCCTGTTAGCACTATCAGAAATAACATGAAACTGTCTTTTTTAGCAATGTAGGAGGTATGGCTGCACAGTATATCTCTCACAACTGAATGACTAGCTTGAAGTAGTTCGACCACCAGCACTCTGCTAGCTGCCCTTCACAGCAGTGTAAGCAATGACTAGCTTGAAGTAGTTAGACCACCAGCACTCTGCTAGCTGCCCTTCACAGCAGTGTAAGCAATGACTAGCTTGAAGTAGTTAGACCACCAGCACTCTGCTAGCCGCCCTTCACAGCAGTGTAAGCAATGACTAGCTTGAAGTAGTTAGACCACCAGCACTCTGCTAGCCGCCCTTCACAGCAGTGTAAGCAATGACTAGCTTGAAGTAGTTAGACCACCAGGACTCGGCTAGCCACCTTCACAGCAGTGTAAGCAATGACTAGCTTGAAGTAGTTAGACCACCAGCACTCGGCTAGCCGCCCTTCACAGCAATGTAAGCAATGACTAGCTTGAAGTAGTTCGACCACCAGCACTCTGCTAGCTGCCCTTCACAGCAGTGTAAGCAATGACTAGCTTGAAGTAGTTAGACCACCAGCACTCGGCTAGCCACCTTCACAGCAGTGTAAGCAATGACTAGCTTGAAGTAGTTAGACCACCAGAACTCTGCTAGCTGCCCTTCACAGCAGTGTAAGCAATGACTAGCTTGAAGTAGTTAGACCACCAGCACTCGGCTAGCCACCTTCACAGCAGTGTAAGCAATGACTAGCTTGAAGTAGTTAGACCACCAGGACTCGGCTAGCCACCTTCACAGCAGTGTAAGCAATGACTAGCTTGAAGTAGTTAGACCACCAGCACTCTGCTAGCCACCTTCACAGCAGTGTAAGCAATGACTAGCTTGAAGTAGTTCGACCACCAGCACTCTGCTAGCCACCTTCACAGCAGTGTAAGCAATGACTAGCTTGAAGTAGTTCGACCACCAGCACTCTGCTAGCTGCCCTTCACAGCAGTGTAAGCAATGACTAGCTTGAAGTAGTTAGACCACCAGCACTCGGCTAGCCACCTTCACAGCAGTGTAAGCAATGACTAGCTTGAAGTAGTTAGACCACCAGGACTCGGCTAGCCACCTTCACAGCAGTGTAAGCAATGACTAGCTTGAAGTAGTTAGACCACCAGGACTCGGCTAGCTGCCCTTCACAGCAGTGTAAGCAATGACTAGCTTGAAGTAGTTAGACCACCAGCACTCTGCTAGCTGCCTTCACAGCAGTGGAAGCAATGAGATATTGATCAGTTCCGGCTCCAGACAGGATACCTGGTTATTACACACAATTCTCAAACAACTTTACTCACAAGGGAAATCAGTTTTTATTATTTTTTGTGCAAACCAACCGAGATTTACGTACTGACATGGCTGCAGCCCCTATGCCAACATTGTACAAGTAAATATTCTTTTTGTGACATGTTTGTTTATTATCTTTTGAATGCCAAATAAGGTAGTAAGGTGTTGTTTGGCTATATAGGTTTTATTGTAATGCCGGTTCTTGTTTTATATCAAAGCCACAGCATTTTATATTTTCATTGATATGCAGACACTATTTTTTACATACTTTTTGTTATACCTACATATCAGGCAGAAGCCGGATAGTTTAAGGCACCTTGTGGTTTAAGCATGTACTCTTTTATGCTGTTTTTTTAGCTCCATGATTCTTCACAAGAATAGAGTCTGGGAAGCCCATTCTTGACAACTTAACCATGATGTTTATGGCAGTCTATGTTTGGCACCTCTAACCAAATAAACACAAATGGGGATTTAATTAGTTTTTAGCATGCACATTTCAAAGCAATTCACAGTGCAATTTCAGATGTGATTTGTTTTGTTTTATGCTATGTCATAACTACTTGTATGGAACATCTTGACATGGCACACTTCAGTGGGGAGACTCTTAGAGTATTTCAAATAATCATAAAGCACTGGCATGATGAAAATGCTAAAAGGACTTTACTTTCTGTGCAGACTGAACCAGATCCACAACCTGACAGCATATTCTGCAGGTATCAAACTTACTAGGTATGCTCTGCTCCAACTCCAACAGCCATCCATGCGGACATGGGGCTCATTCCTTTGCCGCTGTTAAGGAAAGAACCGTCTGGTAAGAAGTATGCAAATGATGATGATGATGATGATGATGATGTCATTTCTGCTGTGGAGGACTTTGACACCAGCAGGAGGAAGTCTTCTACCCCAGCAGGAGGAAAGTCTTCTACCCCAGCAGGAGGAAGTCTTCTACCCCAGCAGGAGGAAGTCTTCTACCCCAGCAGGAGGAAGTCTTCTACCCCAGCAGGAGGAAAGTCTTCTTCCCCAGCAGGAGGAAAGTCTTCTACCCCAGCAGGAGGAAGTCTTCTACCCCAGCAGGAAGAAGTCTTCTACCCCAGCAGGAGGAAAGTCTTCTACCCCAGCAGGAGGAAGTCTTCTACCCCAGCAGGAAGAAGTCTTCTACCCCAGCAGGAGGAAAGTCTTCTACCCCAGCAGGAAGAAGTCTTCTACCCCAGCAGGAAGAAGTCTTCTACCCCAGCAGGAGGAAAGTCTTCTACCCCAGCAGGAAGAAGTCTTCTACCTCAGCAGGAGGAAAGTCTTCTACCCCAGCAGGAGGAAAGTCTTCTACCCCAGCAGGAGGAAAGTCTTCTACCCCAGCAGGAGGAAGTCTTCTACCCCAGCAGGAGGAAAGTCTTCTACCCCAGCAGGAAGAAGTCTTCTACCCCAGCAGGAGGAAAGTCTTCTACCCCAGCAGGAGGAAGTCTTCTACCCCAGCAGGAAGAAGTCTTCTACCCCAGCAGGAGGAAAGTCTTCTACCCCAGCAGGAGGAAAGTCTTCTACCCCAGCAGGAGGAAGTCTTCTACCAGAGCAGGTTCCAGGCTCTCCAGCGGCTGGCACAAGGGTGTGGACCTCGGGGAGTATTTCGTGGAAATATAATTAGCAACCAACTCCAAACACAGTCCGTCGTAGTTAAACTCAGGAAGCCCCCTCTTGTAGCTTTGAGATACAGTGGATGTTAACCAAAGGGTGATTCCACTGTGTACTTTTAAGCCATCTGTGTCAACAGTTGGAAATATTTTCTGATTTGTTTATAGTTGAGATCTGTTCTATTTATGCTGGTGTGCTTAAACATGTATTGAGGTTACTAGTTTGGTGTAGTTACTTTCTGAGGAAGATCAATATTACAGCAGTTTTAAAATTTTGTTTTAGTCCTACAGTGAAGTAACAGTATGTATAAGATTGTAATGGGATTTGTAGGACACAATGACGCAATGAAATGGGAATGTTGGATTGCGAATTACTGAAATCTGTTTGTCATTATGAAATACTTCACCACTCTGACATTCCACTCGGCCTTGTAGCCTCCATGTACTCATGTACATTCTCATATTGTTTTTGGTTTCTTGTTTAATGTTTATGTATTCATTGGTTGCATATATGTGATAAGCTGTTATTGTAGTTTGGTAGACGTTACAATGGGTATCAGGCAGAAGATAACAAAATATCAGATCAAATTCTTTGTTAATGAAGGTTTGTATAAAAGATGTATATTGATATGGTATGTTTTCATATGGCTATTCTGTGAAAAGAATTTCTGGTCCACAGGAATTCTAAATATATTTGTTTCACTAAAATTGTATCACAAGATATGCACATTTTGCAATTCAGTGATCAATTGTGAAAACAAGTGATAGCTGGACTGTGATTGTGGCCCAACTGACAAGCCATTCCTGCCTGTTGGTGGTTGTGCAGGATGTGTTCCCACAGGGATGTGTTCAGGGAGGGTGGGAACAAAATCATAATTTATTTATACTGTCTTGTCCCAAATGGAAACTTGATGTATACCGGGTATACGTTCAAATATATCCTGTCTATGGTGCATTGTTGATGTTAGATCTGGTTGTAGTTTACCTTTGTTTCCTAGCAGGTGTGTTGTAGGCTATTGAAACTCCATGACCTGTGATAGTGAGTCTTACTGCTTTCTCCAGTTTGATAAAGTAAACATTTTGAGTTTGAAATTAAATAGGATATTATAAATCTCAGTGAAAAGAAAGGGACATTTTTTCTAAATTACAGCTGAACTGCATATTATCTACCTCAAGTTAAAATGACATTCATTGAGTTGCATTAAAATTGATGCATTAAAATTATTATTATCAGCACACTTAAAAAAGTATGTATCTATTTGTAAAGTATGATTTGAAATAACAAGTATTTGGTGTCATGTCTGCCACACAATTTAATGGTACCGGTACCGGTAGTTGAGGGTTGTTCTTAGAAGCAGGTTTGCACTATTTGCCTATTATTCCCCGCCACAAAGTGGAAGGGGGATATAGGAATGGGTGCTGACCGTCTGTCATGTTCCGTTTTGTTTCCGGAGCAGAACTAAAAAACCATGAGATATAGTTTCACCAAACTTGGGATATAGGTCTAGTGGTAAACTGGTGCCTTTTCATAGGTTGGGATTTTGAAAAATTTATTTTATGAGTTTTCATAGCAACGACTTTGATTTAGACGGAAAATGGCGATAGTGCTCGTTTCCGGAACAGATCTTGAGAACCGTACAATATTTCTTGCCTTTCACACAACCGAACATGTCATACTGGCCGGAGATAGGAGTATTTCATACTTGTTTTCAACAATGATGATGAACAAATGTTTGTTCTGGGGGTATAATGCAATGGAAATGTTTTGAAAATGGTTGTGAATGGAGTGTCAAATAAAACATTTTTCACTCTGCACATCTTTGTGTTTTACAGTCCAGCATGGGATCATCTGCAAGAAGTAGTTCTAGTCATCAGTGCCTTCGTCCTTCAGGTGGGGAGGATTGGCTGGTGTTATCAGATTTAAGGTTGCAATCTCCTCATGTGTTTTAACTTGGAATTTAAACTGTTTATGAAATACATGAAACAGGAATCAATTCTTGTATAATTTTGCACAGTAAATTATATTTGAGGGCATCAGTTACTTCCCCTTACTTTAGTATACTGGATGTATACTGGATGTGGATGTGAATATTCTGGGAACTGGTCAAGTTACAAATAACTTTAATACATGGATACAACTATAGATTTCTTCTGCAATCTTTACACAAATAGTTATTAAAGGTTCTGTGAGTTGAAAAGATTTTGTGCAACATGGGGTTTGAAGATTAATTTCGAAAAAATCTGAATGTTGTTTCAGAAATGTTGGTAAAATATAATTATAACTTGATGTTTTGGGACTCTCCGTGGTCTAGTGGTAGCAAATCCGCCCGGAGAGCAGAAGGTCCAGTACCAAAAGACGTTAAAAAAATGGTACTTGTTGTCACCCTGTCTGGCGCATTATGGGGCTAAAACAAGGACTGGTCGGCTTGGAGTCAATATACTGTTTCTGAGTATGGTATCTCAGTGAGCTCGCACTATAAATTGACATCAGTCCGTACTACTACTACTACTACTACTACTACTACTACTACTACTACTACTACTACTACTACTACTACTACCACACACACACACATATTCAATTGATCACTGAGGATGAACACTCTTATCTACATCAGAGTTCTACTAAAGTCAGTGGCTGAAAAAGGTAAACAAGTTGGGTGTCAGAAATAAGTTCTTTATTTTGTTCAGGTTTTTCTTCTGCTTGGTTATCACCATATTCACAAACAAAACCGGTGATGGTATCTTCATAAAACAACATTTATAGAATATGAAGGTACCATTTCTTCCCATTTCTTCCTTTCAAAAACAAATATGCTGAGACATTTGGAATATTGCCACTTTAAGTGGAAATCCATTCTAATAAAAAAATAATTTGAATAAGGATTGTCCAGCAAGTTTAGACATGAGGTAGTGTAAGGGACCCTACATAACATATTAAATCCCCTACCATGACAGTGCTCTGCACCTTGGTGTGTTCATTGTACACTATTACAAATCAATAGGACACTAAAGACATAAACTAATATCAAATATTTTTCAACATTTGTCAATGATAAAATGGTAGCTATGCCAATTTTGAGAGGCAGTGATATAATCTCTGGTTGACCACCTGATGATTGCTGTGAGTGAGTTTGGTTTAACGCCGCTTTTAACATTATTCCAGTTATATCACGGTGTGTCAGCTTAATGTGGGAGGAAAGCCCGAAGTGATGAAGGACTCAGGCGTTTACCACGAGCACGGGTATTGTGCTGACAAACCTAGAAACATAATCGGGGCGAACCGGGATTCGAACCCACAATCAGAGGTTTCTGGCATGCCCAAGGGACGCAGCTCTGCACATCGAATCGCGGCGCCTTAGACGACTGGGCCACCCGTGCCCCTATTGCTGTGAACTAGTTGTAACATAACAAGGGCATCTACATCTGGATGGATCTGATGGAAACAAGGGAACACATCTACATCTGGATGGACCTGGTGGAAACAAGGGAACACATCTACATCTGGATGGATCTGATGGAAACAAGGGAACACATCTACATCTGGGTGGACCTGATGGAAACAAGGGAACACATCTACATCTGGATGGATCTGATGGAAACAAGGGAACACATCTACATCTGGGTGGACCTGATGGAAACAATAGAATACACCTACATCTGGGTGGACCTGATGGAAACAAGGGAACACATCTACATCTGGGTGGACCTGATGGAAACAAGGGAACACATCTACATCTGGATGGATCTGATGGAAACAAGGGAACACATCTACATCTGGATGGATCTGATGGAAACAAGGGAACACATCTACATCTGGGTGGACCTGATGGAAACAATGGAACACACCTACATCTGGGTGGACCTGTTGGAAACAAGGGAACACATCTACATCTGGGTGGACCTGTTGGAAACAAGGGAACACACCTACATCTTGATGGACCTGATGGAAACAAGGGAATACATCTGGGTGGACCTGATGGAAACAGGGGAACGGTAGGTTAGCCCTGTGGTTAAAGTGTTCTCTTTTCACGCCAGGGTTGATTCCTCACATGTGTTCAATGTGTGAAACCCTGGTATTGCTTGAATATGGCTAAATGTGGAGTAAAACAATACCCACTCACTCACTCCAATTGCGGGTGTTTTTATCTTGTTATCAGTAGTATATAACAACACTGGTTGGCATCCACTCAACACTCATGCAGGAACAAAAGCATCTCAGATGAACATAAGCATTTCTGATCAACGTAAGAAAATATCAGATGAACAGAGACAAATCTAGACCTGCTAGATTCAGCCTCAACACTGAATTAATTGTCAGTTTCGTATCTTAGATTGAAATGATAATGGACGAGCTCATCGTGCCAGGATTGTGATCCAATTCCTCCAACAGCAAAACATCCATGTCATGCCATGAAGACCAGCACTCGGTCCTGACCTATTTGCCTAATATTATGTCTGGAACGTCAGTGGCAGACGTACGTCAACGTCGAATACACCAACCATCATCAGAAGCATGCCTCAAAGAATTCGTGCATGTCTCATCTCACCACACCAACCACCAGAACCCAGTACTCCACAGCAGATATGATTATATCATTTCCTTTTGCCAGTACTGCATATAGATCCACATATGTGTCTTCATGATTCCCACTATCCCCTACATTTTGGCACAATATATATATCTGTGTCTGCTGGTGATATGACATTTGAACATTTGATTTTTAGATATATACTTCTCTTTATTTCAGTAAATGTCCCCGCTTGACAGCGGTATAAGGATCTATACCGAAAAGTAACTTTTTACAGTATTTAAGAAGTTGTTATCCATGTAATTGTGTCTACCTTGGCACCCGAAAACTTCTAAGTAATGCCTATGGATCAAGTTTATTTCGGCAAATGTAGGCCAATGACCCATGTTTACATTCGATTGCATGACGTGTAGAATACATACAACATATTTATAGAAAATAGTTTTTCTGTCATTACATCCTCAGAATTATTTTATGTAGGAGCATAGCATGATAAAGGTACATAGCTAGATTTTGAACACACGTACCGCTTCCTGTGGCCATTAAAAGGGAAAAATTATTCTTATTAGTAAGGAGGCTATAGGTTTCTTGTATATATTTTGTACGTAGATGTTTGTAAGCAGAGCAAATTTGTAGGAATTAAATGATATTCATTCTCGATATAGCCAGAATTGCAACATTAAAATAGTCGACCACTTTGCGGTATATGAACATATCTACCAGTTGACCCGTGAAAAACGTCGAGTCAGAATTTCTCCTCGGATTGGCTACGTCAAAACAATGTACCTTGGCGAACTTAAGTTTCAGGTATATCGATGACGTAATATATCGGTCAAACCTGCCAACCTGTGTTCCACCAGATTCAACCTATTAACGTTTTGATCACGTATTTTTGTTGGGTTAAATCCAAACTTTCTTTTGCCCCGCAGTTTAATGAGTTGACACGAGCAGAATCCATCACGTGTACATCATATCTTAAATATCAAACCAACTGTATAATGAATGTTTGTGCCATTTGTTGCGATACGTCATAAAGGGCCTCACCACAAACACACATCTTCAAAATCTAAGCCTGTTTTGAAGGAAAGGTATAGTTAATGGGGGCCATCTTCAGTTTGCTAGTCAAAATGAGGTATGTATATACTAGTATATGTTTATAGGGATCTAGCTACTGTCGTAACGATCGTTTCTATCAAAATCGCGAGTAGTCTTGAAGTCACATTCTTATCTTTATAATTGCCTCCAATTAAAACCCGTTTAGACATAAAGAATTGATTCTCTGAATATTGTATCATGTTTTGATAAATACAGCAGCATGCAAAAGTCATGGATTGTAGATATGTATTTATTTCAAAAGACATGTTCAACTTGGAAGCCCTTGTGTTGACGTTGTTTTATAGTGTATCATCGCAGAGCAGAGTATACCCGGCGAAAATGTTTATCATGAATATCGATAGAAGTTTGGTTCTAAACGCGAGTAGATTATGAACTATAAACTAGAGAATTAAAATTATTTCTTCAATGGGTAGGCCCTTAATAACTCTATATTTGGCGTCCTGGAAAATACTATCAGGAATTAATATGATAGATTTTGCGAGAAACGGAAATGTAATTTTCTTAAACTAAACTGACAGGAAGAGATATATGGGTTTTGGGGTTGTTTTTTTAAAGGGGTATAATTATTCCCCTTCCCTCAACCCACCACGTACAAAACGAAACACATATATTATACACACATATAGTTTTTCCATCCATGATCCCCCAAAGACGTATATACGTCCGTGATCCCCCGTACACACCTCCCTTGAACAGAATTAAATTGGATGTGCAGATACTGTTGTTCAAAGTAACCTAGTATCTATGGTTTTGTTTCGGGTAAACATGTGGCACGGCCATGCACAATTTGTAGCATTACAATATTTACAGTCATCCTTTTCCGTTTCAGAACGGTAACCCCTTTTCTACTCAACCGATAGAAAGCCGCACTTCCGTAACCTACATATTCCCGCGAAAACTTCAAGGTAAATAATTTGATAAATATGACAAATGTTGAAGTTGATACCCATGTAGGTATGGAGAAATCTTTAAACTATTCGCCAATTATGTCTGAGTAGCAGTAAGTAGGTCACATTATGTAGATAAACGTTGAAATCGTGGAACTCGAAGTCCGTACACGATTTTCCTGAATTGCTGAAACGAAATTATGGTAAAAAATCATGAAAAAAGCGTTATTTGATTTTTCGTAACCGCACAAATTCCCCTCCAGATCTTTATCCATACAAAAATAGGTTGAGACAATCTGATCATTGACATCATGACTTTATTATGAATATGCGTGAATTTGAGAAATAGCTGAATTCAACAAGTGTTTCACCATGGTAACTGATCACGTGAATGTTCTATTTATAGCTCGGGAAACCCTTCTGACTTGTCCAAACTTGCACAGAGCTTATTCAAAACAAAAGGAAGCCATGAGTGTTTAGATACTCCACTTTCGAACAATTGCTGTGAGCACGGTCAGACTGTTAGATGCGATTGCTCGTAGACGTATACATCAATATGTCATCATCTGCATTGCACAACAGTACTTGAGCCCAAATGGTCAAACTATCTTATCGAACTCAATGAGTTATGAGAATCGTACCTTGAGACACAGCATTATTACAACCAGAGACCATATACCGGTATATGGTCTCTGTTACAACTGATGCAAGCCACAAGAGATGCATCACAATCTAGCCATGAAATAAGCACCAGGATAACTATGGTGCTAGAAAAGATTGGACCACAGTCAGAAATGGAAACAGTCGCTTCATTATGAACTAAACTGAAGGCCATTTGCTTGTGGTGGTGAAGCGAATAGGTTAGAACTTGGGGATTAAGTGTATGATAGAGCCTCATCAGTGCATCGATTGAGTCCAGCTCCCTGGTCTTGTACACTTGTGCTATCTCCGATGAGGACAGCCACAAGGGAAACATTGGACTCATCCGTCTTCACCACATAGTTTGATGTATATATTGAAAAGTAAATTCGTTTCCCCATGGAGTATAAAACTGTCCATGATATTCTTTAATGTGTACTGTACAGCGCTTGTGAAGGCTGAGAATGAAACGCTGTGAGAGTGTACCAGGAGTAACTATATAGGTATTAGTGAGCAGTAGATGGCAGATAGAACTTTTAAGCAACATGCAAAGCATATGGATTTGTTCAACTGCAGGATTTCTATTGAGTTGAGAGCCCCACCTATGGAATGAAAACAAGAAGACAAGTAAATATCACCATGCTCTTGAATCTAAGTGTATGTCATATACCTGATTGATCCCATGAAAGCCTTCATATTCTGACTGAAAGGCTATAGAATTGAATGTCTAGAAATTAATCAGAACACAGAAAAGACAGCATTGCATTGGCACACTACTGTTTATGGATTGTGTGTTTATTTATGTTAAGAGTGACAAGCAATATCTTATTCTAACCAGCTTTGTATTCTTCCATGAAACCCAATCACTTTAGTGTTTACAATAAATTCTAAAGTTATATGTTGGGTGCCTTGAATATATGCCTAGTCAACTGATGCTAATGACATGAATGTCTGCCTTGAATATATACCTGGTCAATCATTAGATGTGAACAAAATGATTACATGATTAGATTCTGTTGTTACCTATTAAAAATTTAATGTAACTGTAATCATGGTGAGATGTCACTCTCAAAAGAGTAAATGCCAGCCTCAAGTAATAAAAAACCTTCATGGCTTTAGAAATACATCAAACCCAACTCACTCACTCACTATTGATAATCAAAACAGATTATTCCATGGCCATGTATTGTAGTTGGTGGTCATTTGATTCAGCCATGAAGATCTTGCTGCTTTTCTTGCAGATGTTACATCCTCTGGGCACACATTAGGAAGCAGGAGAGCAAGATGGAGAAGAAACATAAAGAAATTTTGATAAAGCAGCGTGCCAACCTTGTGGAAAACATCAACCCCAGAGATGGCTTGTTTACCCAGCTGATATCCCAGAAAGTCCTCAACCCTAGAAGTGTTCGTACCATCCAGGTTAGTGCTGTTATGTGCACTCTGTCATCTGTAGTGCTGCAAGATATGTAGTGTCCTTGGGCCCTAGAGGTGTTTTGTTCAGTTTCATTCAAGGACCTAAACAATTCGAAATATTAGATTCTTAACATAAAGGCAAGACAAGAACCCTTCGACACTTTTCTGTCTTGAGCAAACAAAGGTGGCAATTCTTGTGTGTACGTACACTGTTACTATTGCTTTGAGTTAATGAACAAAAGTCAGCTTCAGTATTTGCAGAAATCAAACACGAACAATTTATGTAGGAAATTTGAGATTCCATCTGTTGTGTTTCTGTTTCAATACGATCGTCCCCCTGTCCAGCAGATTATCTAAGTGTTCCTTGTGTTTCTGTTCCAGTACAATTGTCCCCCTGACCAGCAGATTATCCTTGTGTTTCTGTTCCAGTACAATCGTCCCCCTGACCAGCAGATTATCCTTGTGTTTCTGTTCCAGTACAATTGTCCCCCTGACCAGCAGATTATCCTTGTGTTTCTGTTCCAGTACAATCGTCCCCCTGTCCAGCAGATTATCTAAGTGTTCCTTGTGTTTCTGTTCCAGTACAATTGTCCCCCTGACCAGCAGATTATCCTTGTGTTTCTGTTCCAGTACAATCGTCCCCCTGACCAGCAGATTATCCTTGTGTTTCTGTTCCAGTACAATTGTCCCCCTGACCAGCAGATTATCCTTGTGTTTCTGTTCCAGTACAATTGTCCCCCTGACCAGCAGATTATCCTTGTGTTTCTGTTCCAGTACAATCGTCCCCCTGACCAGCAGATTATCCTTGTGTTTCTGTTCCAGTACAATCGTCCCCCTGTCCAGCAGATTATCCTTGTGTTTCTGTTCCAGTACAATCGTCCCCCTGACCAGCAGATTATCCTTGTGTTTCTGTTCCAGTACAATCGTCCCCCTGTCCAGCAGATTATCCTTGTGTTTCTGTTTCAGTACAATCGCCCTCCTGACCAGCAGGTGGAGGAGCTTCTCAATGTTCTTCCAACAAGAGGCCCTGAAGCTTTCTCCAAGTTCTGTGAAGCACTGAAAGAAGATGATCAAGAACATGTGCTGGACTTCCTTAAGTGTGATGAAACTAAAAGTGAAACAACGAATGATGGAACGACACCAACTTCAGAATCGGGCGAGTGTTCACGTAAACGAGCTCATTCTCCGTCCCCCCAGGTCTTGTGTATCAAGGACAAGGATAGTCAGAATTTAATGATCAAGTATTTAGCCAGTGAGGAACACTCAGATGCAGAGAAGAAGAGACAAATGTTTACAGATGGACACAAAGGTTATGAACAGGGAGAGCCACGGCACACATTCAAACACTGGATATCTGAACCTGGGGTCGTTCACATTGGTCGGTTTGTGCCGGTGGACCACCTTGAAAACTACATGGCCGCCCCATCAAGCTTGTCAGGGGGCAGATGTACCCCCTATGATCTTTCCCGATGTGATAGCCTAGGTGAGAACCTGATTTGAGCTGAATGAAACTATGTATTTATCGAGGTATTAATGAAGTTAAGACCTCCATGGTTTGCAGTGACTGACTGCACATTCATTCATTGTTTGAAAGCCCTTGTAAATATTAACGGACAACAATTCTTCAATCAGGGCCCCATATTAGGTTAACAGAGATTGTTCTTGAGGAGAATGTTATCAAATTAGGGGTTATATTATTCCTTTGAACTCTCAATTTTTCAGATGCCATGACCAAGAGGCCTGTCCAGTTGTCCTCACCACACCAGCCGTCCAGTGATACAATAGGTGACCACTCTTGTCTGGAGCTCTGTACCGCTGGCTTCCTTAATCACATGTTTCTTATACAAGGATTCTCTCTGCTGTGTTCATGCTAGAGGGAGGAAGTGTGACATCTATTTCAATTATAATGCAAGAAATATTGCCTTCTCAAACTTTCCATTTAGAGTTCAGGGAATGAGATTTCTCAGTTGGGTGCTTTGTTGCTAAGCTTAGAATAGGTCTTCAGCAACCCATGCTTGCCGTAAAAGGCGACTATGCTTGTCGTACGAGATGACTAACGGGATCGGGTGGTCAGGCTCGTTGACTTGTTGATGCATGTCATCGATCCCAATTGCGTGGATCGATCCTCATGATGTCAATCACAGGATTGTCTGGTCCAGACTCGATTATTAACAGACCGCCGTCATATAGCTGGAATATTGCGGAGTGCGGCGTTAAACTACAAAAAAAACACAAAAAAAAACATTGTCTGTGCAAATGTCAAACGTAATGGTGAATATTGACTGAAGCACAGTCAGAAATGCTAGAAAAATGCTTTATCCCCTTTAAATAATTTTAGCACTTAACACACAATTCTACACTTGAAACCTTATAAACTGGCAGTCAACTGTTTGTCGAAATTCAAATTGGTGTCTGACTAACTCTTACTTTTCCACACAACAAGGGTCTTTGAACATAGTGAAATCCTCTTAAGCTTCATAGACCATACAACATCATTAATACCTGGGTTATATGTAATTTGTCTTCCTTTCTTGGGCTTGACATCATCAAACTGTGGGTACTTCAAGATTATGTGCACATCCTATTTCGTTTTCACAGCAATATTTATGCAAAATCATGACAATCATCAGAGATCTGAGATTGATTTATGGGACAAACATGCAACCTTATTTTGTATGTCGCAACTAGGTTTCATGTCAACATGCACCTGGTGCAAGTAAAATGAAGTTCTTAAATCAAGCCCTGACCTGTGGTGGCATCAACACACAGATAAAGACTGTACAATTGCAGACTACAATAACACCCTTCCCATGATATTGCAAAGATGAGAATCCCTCTGTTGTCGTTCATTGCAACTTTAGACAATAATCACTCACTCACTCTGTTGTGGTTCTGTGTGCAGTTTGAGCCAGTGTTGTGTCCTTGTCCTCAGATTCTGAAGCAGTCCAGATAGCAAACACCTTTGATGAAACTGAGGATGCTCAGATTGACCTAACTGACGGGCCAGTCAACGTCAAGGTCGACCATACATCCCGGCAGTTCTTCCTTGCATTTCATAGAAAGGTAAACACAAGAACATGACAACTGTGATGGGAACTTGTGATGTGTTACAACATACTCTTAATGTTCAGGGCTTGTCATGGTCGGCACACACCATGTGATCAGCTCACACTGTTCCCTGCTCTATACTACTTTAGAGACCGGTCTATTATTTATTATAGGAGGGGTAGGTCAGAGGTGTTTGATGCTCTAATGTATTGAATATAATGATTACATTTTTTCATTGACCCTCAATTTTTGATGCCCCCCCCCCCCCCCCCCGACACACACACACATCCTCTATCAATTGTCATATTTTTGGGTGCCCCTTCCCTCATTCCTTCTGACCCACATCCCAATTTAATAAATGACCTGTGTTTGACCAAAAATATATATATATCTGTTGCCATAGAAACATTGAACTTTGTTTAAAAGGCTGTATCCTTGTTTGCAGTCATACCCCATGCAGAGGCTACCTCGAGGGAAGGCCCTCATCATCAATGTCAATGAAGTCATCAGCAAACCACCTCGACGAGGCACTGACATCGACCGTGATAATCTCCATAATCTGCTCAAGCAACTTCACTTCGATGTCCAGGTGTTTAATGATAAAGATGGCCTCACTGCACAGGTGAGTTAGTGATTGTTGGTCTCGGGAACTGACCGAGAGCCAGTCAGTAATACACTACTAATGAAGTATGTCACTACAGGTCTCCAAGTGACTGACGGTATCTGTAGGTAGCAAGAGGTCACTGTGAGTCAGTAACAGACTTGACTGTTGTCACTAGGTATCAAGAGGTCACTGTGAGTCAGTAACAGACTTGACTGTTGTCACTAGGTATCAAGAGGTCACTGTGAGTCAGTAACAGACTTGTCTGTTGTCACTAGGTATCAAGAGGTCACTGTGAGTCAGTAACATGCTTGACTGTTGTCACTAGGTATCAAGAGGTCACTGTGAGTCAGTAACAGACTTGACTGTTGTCACTAGGTATCAAGAGGTCACTGTGAGTCAGTAACAGACTTGACTGTTGTCACTAGGTATCAAGAGGTCACTGTGAGTCAGTAACAGACTTGACTGTTGTCACTAGGTATCAAGAGGTCACTGTGAGTCAGTAACAGACTTGACTGTTGTCACTAGGTATCAAGAGGTCACTGTGAGTCAGTAACAGACTTGACTGTTGGCCCTAGGTATCAAGAGGTCACTGTGAGTCAGTAACAGGCTTGACTGTTGTCACTAGGTATCAAGAGGTCACTGTGAGTCAGTAACAGACTTGACTGTTGTCACTAGGTATCAAGAGGTCACTGTGAGTCAGTAACAGGCTTGACTGTTGTCACTAGGTAGCAAGAGGTCACTGTGAGTCAGTAACAGACTTGACTGTTGTCACTAGGTATCAAGAGGTCACTGTGAGTCAGTAACAGGCTTGACTGTTGTCACTAGGTATCAAGAGGTCACTGTGAGTCAGTAACAGACTTGACTGTTGTCACTAGGTATCAAGAGGTCACTGTGAGTCAGTAACAGACTTGACTGTTGTCACTAGGTATCAAGAGGTCACTCTGAGTCAGTAACAGACTTGACGGTTGTCACTAGGCATCAAGAGGTCACTGTGAGTCAGTAACAGGCTTGACTGTTGTCACTAGGTATCAAGAGGTCACTGTGAGTCAGTAACAGGCTTGACTGTTGTCACTAGGTATCAAGAGGTCACTGTGAGTCAGTAACAGGCTTGACTGTTGTCACTAGGTAGCAAGAGGTCACTGTGAGTCAGTAACAGACTTGACTGTTGTCACTAGGTATCAAGAGGTCACTGTGGGTCAGTAACAGATTTGTCTGTTGTCACTAGGTATCAAGAGGTCACTGTGAGTGAGTAACATGCTTGACTGTTGTCACTAGGTATCAAGAGGTCACTGTGAGTCAGTAACAGACTTGACTGTTGTCACTAGGTATCAAGAGGTCACTGTGAGTCAGTAACAGACTTGACTGTTGTCACTAGGTATCAAGAGGTCACTGTGAGTCAGTAACAGACTTGACTGTTGTCACTAGGTAGCAAGAGGTCACTGTGAGTCAGTAACAGACTTGACTGTTGTCACTAGGTAGCAAGAGGTCACTGTGAGTCAGTAACAGACTTGACTGTTGTCACTAGGTATCAAGAGGTCACTGTGGGTCAGTAACAGACTTGTCTGTTGTCACTAGGTATCAAGAGGTCACTGTGAGTCAGTAACAGACTTGACTGTTGTCACTAGGTATCAAGAGGTCACTGTGAGTCAGTAACAGACTTGTCTGTTGTCACTAGGTATCAAGAGGTCACTGTGAGTCAGTAACAGACTTGACTGTTGTCACTAGGTATCAAGAGGTCACTGTGAGTCAGTAACAGACTTGTCTGTTGTCACTAGGTAGCAAGAGGTCACTGTGAGTCAGTAACAGACTTGTCTGTTGTCACTAGGTATCAAGAGGTCACTGTGAGTCAGTAACAGACTTGACTGTTGTCACTAGGTATCAAGAGGTCACTGTGAGTCAGTAACAGACTTGACTGTTGTCACTAGGTATCAAGAGGTCACTGTGAGTCAGTAACAGACTTGTCTGTTGTCACTAGGTAGCAAGAGGTCACTGTGAGTCAGTAACAGACTTGTCTGTTGTCACTAGGTATCAAGAGGTCACTGTGAGTCAGTAACAGACTTGACTGTTGTCACTAGGTATCAAGAGGTCACTGTGAGTCAGTAACAGACTTGACTGTTGTCACTAGGTATCAAGAGGTCACTGTGAGTCAGTAACAGACTTGTCTGTTGTCACTAGGTATCAAGAGGTCACTGTGAGTCAGTAACAGACTTGACTGTTGTCACTAGGTAGCAAGAGGTCACTGTGAGTCAGTAACAGACTTGTCTGTTGTCACTAGGTATCAAGAGGTCACTGTGAGTCAGTAACAGACTTGACTGTTGTCACTAGGTATCAAGAGGTCACTGTGAGTCAGTAACAGACTTGTCTGTTGTCACTAGGTATCAAGAGGTCACTGTGAGTCAGTAACAGGCTTGTCTGTTGTCACTAGGCATCAAGAGTGTGCTTGAATGTCTTGGTATATATCAGTGATAAAACTGTATGGTTGTCGAAGCTGAGAGGTACAAACTATGTTGTTGTTGAAATAGCTGTTGCCTTATTTCTTGAAAGTTTGAATCCAGGATGCCTGATCCAGTTAACATACAATGTACAAACACAAGGTCCTTTGCTCAGTGTTCCTTGTATAACATTGCAGGGAATAGTGGCGAAGCTGAAGATGTTTTCATCCTTGTCTGAGCATGTGGAGTCCAACTGCAGTGTGGTCTGCCTCCTGAGCCATGGGGAGGAGGGCTATGTGTTCGGGACTGATGGCAAGAAGATCCCACTGGATGAGATTTTCATGATGTTCGACAACACCCAGTGTAGAGGACTGATTGGCAAACCCAAAGTGTTCTTCATTCAAGCATGTCGTGGAGGTTTGTCATGCAGATATGTCATCAAGCAGCCCTGTTGTTGTGGTTATGACAGTTGTTAGATTAGAATGTCACTTAACCCAAAGATCAAACAACTTTCTTATTACGGTAGCTAGAGGTATGAGACTTTTTGTTTTCAAGTAAGGGGCATTGGGTTAGCCTTATGGTTAAAGTTTTCAATGCCCACATGGGTACAATGAGTCCATTTCTGGTGTTTCCCTGCTCTGATGTGACTGGAATATGTCTGACGGCAACATAAAACCTGATTCACTCATTTTAAAGTGGTACTGCAGTAGTCAGCAAAAGGGCTCAAAGATGAGTATCTATAGATGTTGGTGAGGTCAGCTGTCACCAGTTTCTGTGAAGTCCGAATAGTTAAATGGTGGTCAAGTTTTGGGGTTTTAATCTCAAGATGTCCACACCAGCAGGTATTGCATGACTATGGCTGAACACCATGGATTTGGTCATGTCATTGGAACTGTTCTCAACAATTCCTTGCCAAAACATTTCTCATGGATACATATATCTTGTATTGATGACCTTGGCTTGATTCAGGAGCTCTGGACCCTGGGGTGCGACTAGAGAAAACAGACGAGACAGATGGGGGCCCGCCTGTGTGCCCTGAGCCGTGGAAACAGCTGCCCACCATGTCCGATATGGTTATCTGTTACCCCACACAGTATGGTGAGTAGGTAACTCCACACCCCTCTCAGTACCCCTCACCCCTCTCAGTACCCCACACCCCTCACAGTACCCACAGCCCTCTCAGTACTCCCCACCCCTCTCAGTACTCCACACCCCTCTCAGTACTCCCCACCCCTCTCAGTACTCCGTACCCCTCTCAGTACCCCTCACCCCTCTCAGTACTCCATACCCCTCTCAGTACTCCACACCCCTCTCAGTACTCCATACCCCTCTCAGTACTCCACACCCCTCTCAGTACTCCATACCCCTCTCAGTACTCCATACCCCTCTCAGTACTCCACACCCCTCTCAGTACTCCACACCCCTCTCAGTACTCCATACCCCTCTCAGTACTCCATACCCCTCTCAGTACTCCACACCCCTCTCAGTACCCCTCACCCCTCTCAGTACTCCATACCCCTCTCAGTACTCCATACCCCTCTCAGTACTCCATACCTCTCTCAGTTTCCCTCACCCCTCTCAGTACTCCACACCCCTCTCAGTACTCCACACCCCTCTCAGTACTCCATACCCCTCTCAGTACTCCATACCCCTCTCAGTACTCCATACCTCTCTCAGTACTCCACACCCCTCTCAGTACCCCACACCGGTCTCAGTACTCACCCCTCTCAGTACTCCATACCCCTCTCAGTACTCCATACCCCTCTAAGTACTCCCCACCCCTCTCAGTACTCCATACCCCTCTCAGTACCCCTCACCCCTCTCAGTACTCCATACCCCTCTCAGTACTCCACACCCCTCTCAGTACTCCACACCCCTCTCAGTACTCCACACCCCTCTCAGTACTCCATACCCCTCTCAGTACTCCACACCCCTCTCAGTACTCCACACCCCTCTCAGTACTCCATACCCCTCTCAGTACTCCATACCCCTCTCAGTACTCCACACCCCTCTCAGTACTCCATACCCCTCTCAGTACTCCATACCCCTCTCAGTACTCCACACCCCTCTCAGTACTCCACACCCCTCTCAGTACTCCACACCCCTCTCAGTACTCCACACCCCTCTCAGTAGCCCACCCCTCTCCGTACTCCCCACCCCTCTCAGTACCCCACACCTTTCTCAGTACTCACCCCTCTCAGTACTCCACACCCCTCTCAGTACTACACACCTCTCTCAGTACCCCACACCTCTCTCAGTACTCACCACTTTCAGTACCCCACACCCCTCTCAGTACCCCACACCTCTTTCAGTACTCACCCCTCTCAGTACTCCCCACCCCTCTCAGTACCCCACAGCCCTCTCAGTACTCCCCACCCCTCTCAGTACCCCACAGCCCTCTCAGTACTCCACACCCCTCTCAGTACCCCACACCTATCTCAGTACTCACCCCTCTCAGTACCCCAAACCCCTCTCAGTACTCCACAGCCCTCTCAGTACTCCACACCCCTCTCAGTACCCCACACCTCTCTCAGTACTCACCCCTCTCAGTACTCCCCACCCCTCTCAGTACCCCACACCTCTCTCAGTACTCACCCCTCTCAGTACTCCACACCCCTCTCAGTACTCCACACCCCTCTCAGTACTCACCCCTCTCAGTACTCCCCACCCCTCTCAGTACTCCCCACCCCTCTCAGTACTCCACACCTCTCTCAGTACTCACCCCTCTCAGTACTCCACACCCCTCTCAGTACTCCACACCCCTCTCAGTACTCCCCACCCCTCTCAGTACCCCTCACCCCTCTCAGTACTCCACACCCCTCTCAGTACCCCTCACCCCTCTCAGTACCCCTCACCCCTCTCAGTACTCTCCACCCCTCTCAGTACTCCACACCTTTCTCAGTACTCACCCCTCTCAGTACTCCACATCCCTCTCAGTACTACACACCTCTCTCAGTACCCCACACCTCTCTCAGTACTCACCCCTTTCAGTACCCCACAGCCCTCTCAGTACTCCACACCCCTCTCAGTACCCCACACCTATCTCAGTACTCACCCCTCTCAGTACCCCACACCCCTCTCAGTACTCCACACCCCTCTCATTACCCCACACCTCTCTCAGTACTCACCCCTCTCAGTACCCCACCCCTCTCCATACTCCCCACCCCTCTCAGTACCCCACACCTTTCTCAGTACTCACCCCTCTCAGTACTCCACACCCCTCTCAGTACTACACACCTCTCTCAGTACCCCACACCTCTCTCAGTACTCACCCCTTTCAGTACCCTCACCCCTCTCAGTACTCCCCACCCCTCTCAGTACACCTCACCCCTCTCAGTACCCCTCACCCCTCTCAGTACCCCACCCCCACTCTCAGTGTTAATTACCTTTATGGCCCTTTCCACTGTTGGCCCTGGTTAGTCCTTCTCTCACTCAACACACCACTGACAGTTCATGTCAAATCCCCGCCATGCGTAAACACGCTGCTTCCTCTCTGATTTTTCCCATCTACCCCTCAGCTTCCGCTCACGCATGCGCACACGTAGTCAAGTTCAGAGGTCACTTCCAGTACACTCAAATGTAAATATACCACACAATGTGGTTAGGACTGACATGTTATCAATCTCCCACTTCTTTAAAGTTTGTCTTCATATGTGATAAGGCTGGAGTGACAAACTTTGCTGGCTGTGTCAAAATTCCATTTGTTTATGTGCAAAGCCTTCCCTCAGACTTTCTCGGTAAAAGTAAAAATAAATTTCTTAAAACAAGTCTCTGTACAGTATATCCCAGGAACAGTTTCCAGTCTCTGTACAGTATATCCCAAGAACAGTTTCCAGTCTCTGTACAGTATATCCCAAGAACAGTTTCCAGTCTCTGTACAGTATATCCCAAAAACAGTTTCCAGTCTCTGTACAGTATATCCCCAAAACAGTTTCCAGTCTCTGTACAGTATATCCCAAGAACAGTTTCTTCAAATCATATAACCTCAAATATTTTTGATTTGTATAAAATAGTTTTATGTAAAAGAAGGATGCAGACTGTTCCAACAAACATATATTTTTCTTCTTCTTTAAGATCTTCATAAAAACAGGTTAAAAGATGATACAGTTTATAATAATATCTTCACAGAGTTCCTTCTTCAAGGACCCGTAGTAACTTCATAGGTGAAGCGCCTTCTTTGGTCAGACAGTCTGCCAACTGGTTATTTGTGTGTCCACCCATGTCACATCTCCTATCTGTCCACATTCCACTAACTCCTTGATCCCACTTGTTTCCATTCTTAGTCTTGTTTCTTTAACAGGTGTTGCGCAGCGGAATTTTAACTTTTAACTAAAGTGACAGATGTACGTCCTATCGCGACATCTCGAACCAAAGTGACGAACATGCGTCCCATCGAGCCGAACTATCAAACCAAATTGACTGATGTACGTCCTATCGCGACGACATCTCAAGCCAAAAGTGATGTTAACTCAAGCAATTCCGATCTCCTCGCTCCGACCGTGCTCGGACAGCCCTTGCCATGCAATACTTTTTTCCGCGAAGCAAGATGCGTTTCCGCGAAGCAAGATGCGTTTCCGCAATCTGTTCCCTCTTTGGCATGCCTTCAAACCATACCCCCTTCCATGATTGACTTCTGTCAATCATAGATTGAAAACTATTATCCTGAAAGCTAATCAAGACCATTTGTTTCACTCGAAGAAGCCCATTCCAGTGGACATACTTTGTTTGCTGGTCTTTTCACTACTGACTGTCTTGTCTTAATATCCAACATGGCCATCTTTTCCTGGATAGACCTTCAATATTCTGCCAAGTTGCCAGTTTCCACGAGGCGTGTCGGGAGATCCCTAAGACAACATCTCCAACTTGTAAATCCCTCTGAGGAGTGTGCCATTTTCTTCTGGTGTTGAGGCTTGGTAGCCATTCTCTCATCCACCGGTGCCAAAAGTGACGAACCAATTCTTGAATTCTTCTCCACCGTTTGCGTGGATTGAAGTCTGTTGTGTCAACTGTGTCAGGTGCGAACACGCCACCAATCTGGCCATGTAAGAAGTGATTTGGCGTGAGAGGTGTACTGACTTGTGGATGAGCAGATTGGTACGTCAACGGACGAGAGTTGATAAGAGCCTCTGCTCCAGTGAAAGCTGTCATCAACTCTTCATCTGTGACATCACCGGCACTAAGGAATGGCACGCTTAGCAGCTTTTATCATTGATTCAAACACCCCTCCAAAATGTGATGCATGAGGAGGATTGAAACGCCATTTGATCCCTTTGTTTGCAAGTGAACGTCTCACTGCATCCTCATCAAGGAGTAGGAACAGCTCCTTCAATTCCTTGACCGAACCAACAAAGTTGGTACCATTATCAGATACTACCAACTCAGGAAGACCTCTTCTGTTAATCATCCGATAAAAGGCATTTAGAAAAGAGTCCGTATCCAATCCATAGGCCATTTCCAAAAGAACGGCTCTGGTCGACAAGCATGTAAACAGACAGGGGTAACGCTTCTGTCGATGTTTACCTCGACCCTGAATGGTCATGAATGGCCCAGCATAATCTACCCCAGTTTGTGTAAAGGCTCGAAGTGAAACTCCCATTCTCATTTTCGGCAAAGGAGCCATAACTGGTTGAACTGGCCTTGCTTTATTCAATAGGCACCGTGAACATTTCCTTTCCCATGACCGAATCACTTCTCTACCAGAGATAATCTAGTACTTTGTTGAAAGTGAAGCTAATGTTTGGTTCGTTCCAGCAACATGCTTACCTTCGTCATGATCTCCTAGCCATTGTTCTATTCTGTTTCTCAACGCCTCATCTACTTCATCATCCCAGTCGAGTCCCGCCATCCACATCTCTTGTAGGATTACTTTAGCAGTGACAATGAATGGTGCAATGAAACCCAACGGATCAAAAACCTTGGCAACATATCTGAAGAAACCTCTTTTGGAGATTTTGTCATGTGTTAAAGGGTAGTTTATCCTAAACGTAAACCAATCATTTGCGGCTATCCATAACAAACCAAGAGTTTTCACTGATGGCAAATGCCCTCTGTTGAGATCAACCTCATTTACTCCCTCAGGTATGCCATCAAATACCTCA